TAAAGGCCTGCGCCACTAACGCCTGGCTTTTTTTTTTTTTTTTTTCCGGATGTAGAACTCTTAACTCCTTTCCAGCACCATGTCCACCTGCCTGCTGTCATGCTTCCTACCACAATAACAAGGGACTAAACCTCTAAAAACATAAGAGTTGCCGCTGCCGAGGGCCATGTCTGGGTTTGTGGACCTGCTGCAAATGGGCCTGGAGTTGTGTCCTTGGCTCCTGTTACCAGTGAGGGCTCTGCAAATGCCCAGGGTCTGGCCAGCCACTTGAGACCATGTTGGTGTCCAAGGGCCATACTTCCACCAGGATCATACAGATCTGGGTGGCGTGTGCTGCCACTGGGGCCATGGTGGCATCTGGACCTGAACTGCTGCCAAGGGCCATGTCTGGGTCCATGGTCCTGCAGCAGCTGGAGTCTGTGATGATGCCCACGGCCCCATGTTAGCACAGGGGTCATTGGAAGTATGCTATACTGAGCCTGCCCCACTTTTCACTGGCCCTGGAATGCCTGGCCCTGCCCCTAGCTTGATACTGCAGCAGGAGAGCTGGTCCTGTTCCTCAGGGGAGAGCTGGACCCTGCACTTGGGAAAGATGGCCCTATCCTTCACCACAGGTATACACCTCACCTGGGCAGCACACTAGAGTTGATCCTGTGGTCAGGGATGCAGGTGAGCCCAGCTGAGGGTGTGAGAGCAAGAGAGCTGACTCCTCCCCTCCATCTATCATGTGGTGGCATGGGTGAGGGAAAGATGCCCTCCCTGCTCCATCCATTGCTAGCTGTGGCAGGCAAGAGAGCTGGCCCTGGAGTTATGAGAGTGAGAGAACTAGCTCTGCCTTTTGCTGGCTGCAACACACAGGAGAGCAGGCCAGCACACTAGAGCTGACCTTGTGTCAGCGATGCAAGTGAGCCAAACCTGAGAGCAGGAGAACTGATCCCACACCACCTTCTTCTATGCCCCCACCGCAGTCAGGAGAGAGGGCCCTGCACCTTGCCCGGGCAAACTAGTAGAGCTGGCCCTCGTGGTGTGAGTGTGGGTGAGCCGGGTATGAGGACCTGAGAGCAGGAGAACTGGCCATACCCCTTGCTGCAGGCTGCATTGGGTGAGCTAGCAGAGGCCATGCTGGAGTAGTGAAGTCCCTCGCCAGATAGTGAAGATGAGGGAAAGCTGAGGGCTGACCAACCCAGCTACCACCCAGGCCCAGAACCAGGGCTATGAGTTATCCCACCCCAACATCCATCTCATCTATGAACTGTTGGAGCATGTGAAGGGGATGAACCTACAGATCCCTAACAGCAGGATCTCATGACACAGGACAGCAACAGGACAGCCAAGAAGAGCCCCAGTGAGAGCCCATTACCCATGGCGTATCACAAGTCAGAAGCCTCAAACCAGACCAATGACTTGTGGCAATGAAATCTTGCAAGTAAAGACAAATGGACTAAAGGGTAAACTGTGTGACTCAGTGGATCACACCATAGCTTCCATGACAAGATTCTTTTCCTTTCTTTTTGTTTTGTTTGTTGATTTTTTTGTTTAGTTTTTATTTTTCTTTCAATTGTTTGTGGGGGGAGTTGCAAGGGCAAAGGGCAGATGTGAGTGGATGAGGAGATAAATGGGATCAGAATGTATGATATGAAATCCACAAAGAATCAATAAAAGTAAAAAAAACAAACAAACTAGTTGCCATGGTCATGGTGTTGCTTCACAGCAATAGAACACGGACTAAAATATTACCTTCTTGAGGTAAAATCAGTAAGGGCTGTACCATTCTGTTTCCTCCATTCCCTTAATGAGCTTTGTAGGGTGCTCAGCATCCTGCCTCCCTCCCCTGTATCCTTTTACTGCTCTTTCCCAGCCTTATTATTTCTTCTACAATATTTTAAGGATATATATTATATATTGAAAATACTGTGTGTGTGTGTGTATGTGTGTGATAGAGGAGTGGAGAAATGAAATTATATGGGGATGTTAAGAAGTAGGAGTGGCAGTAACCAGGATACACTATATACACCTATAAAATTGTCAAAGAACGAACTGAATAAAGTAATAAAAATTCCACTGTGTATCCTTATCCATTCCTCCGTTGTTGGACATCTAGGTTGGCCCTATGACTTAGCCACTGTGAATAGTGTTTCCAAAATGTGCACGTGCGTGTCCCTCTGATACAGTGAGTTTGGTTCTTTGAGCTAATTAGCCAGGAGTGGTGGAGCTGGGTTGCATGGAAGATCCAATGCTAGTTTTTGAGAGAGTTCGCAGTGGCTAGACCAGTTTATCCTACAACCAGCTGTGCATAAGGGTTCTCTTGCCAACATCCATTGTTTGTTTTGTAAGTATTTCAGTGGTATCTTCCTGAGGCCTCCTGAAAAGCTGTCTTCCCCTGATGTTTTCTCATGTCACAAAGTGGTTCCATCATCCTTAGCTTTTCCCTTCTGGTGTCTTCTAATTGGTGACACCAACATATTAGAGTTATGCAAATATGAACTAACTTTAAATGGTCAACTGGCTGTTTGGCCACTGTCTTTCTTCATAGAGGAACATATGGCATGTGGCCTGACCACATTCTTTTTGTCTTGGCTTCTCATATTGTCACAGTGTGTGTGTCTAATGTGATAGTTTGAATCTCAGTGGCCCTCATAGGCTCAGATATATGAATACTTGGTGCCCAGTTGGTGGAATTGTTTGGAAAGGATTAGGAGGTGTGATCTTGTTGAAGGATGTGTGTCACTGGCAGGTGGGCTTTGAGGTTTCAAAAGCGCATGCTATTCATGCTATTCCACCTCTCTCTCTTCCTCCCTACTAAAGAGAAGGATGTAAGCTCTCAGCTTCTGTTCCAGCACCATGCCTTCCTTCCTATTGCCATGCTCACCACAATCACAATGATGGTAATGGCCTCACCTTTTGAAACTGTAAGCCCCCTGTCTTATTTAGGATTTCTATTGTGAAGAGACACCATGATCATGGCAACTCTTATAAAGGAAAACATTTAATTGCCGTGGCTCACTTACATTTCAGAGTTTCAGTCCATTGTCATCATGGTGGGATATAGTGGTATTCAGGAGACATGGTGCTAGGGAAGGAGCTGTTACATGTAGTAACAAGAAGTATTTATGTAACAGGAAGTAATCTGATGCACTGGCTGTGACTTGGGCATATTTGAGACTTCTAAGTCCACTCCCACAGTGACATATTTCCTCTAACAAGGCCATGCCTATTCCAGCTAAGCCACATGTCCTACTAGTGACACTCCTAATGAGCTTGTGGGGACACTTACATTCAAACTACCACTCACCCCAAAGACTGTTTCTTATATAAATAGCCTTGGTCATGATATCTGAGCATAGCTATAGGAAGATAACTGATGGGGCAAGTCCTTCTGTGATTATGTTTGTCTTATTGGTTGATAAATAAAGCACTGTTGTCCAATAGGAAATCAAGATAGGTGGGGCTAGGAGTCAAGGAGGATTCTGGGAAATGTAGTAAAGATAGGAGTCGCCATGTGATTCCCAGGAAGAGAGGACACAAGGCTGGAGTCCTCGGTAAGAAAAGATCTTACAAAAATATATACATTAGTAATTATGGTTGATAATTAAGACTGAGCTAGCAAATGAGAAATCCTAGTCATTGGTCAGCAGCATTGTAACTAAGATAAGATTCTGTGCGTAGTTTGGGGGCCCTAGCATGGCAGTGGGGCTCTGGTGGGTGGTGAAAAGAGTTATCCTTACAAATGGCATCCCACATGGTTTTACAAACTTCCACATAAAACTTCACAAAAACTTAAAAAGGGATTTTACAAACAAAAGAACAGAGACAAGCAGGACTTCTTGGTTTCTGTTTTGCTAGAGACAAGAAGAGTCTTCCTAGACTCCTTTAAGGGAATCTTCCTGACTCAGCATAAACAGAAAAACCCCATGGCTCTTTTAAGAGGCCCTTCTAACAACTGAATGGTGTGTACAGGCAGCTGGCAGTGGCAGTGACCACATCTCCGAGCCGGCAGCATGCTGCTTGATGGCAGCATAAGGCAGTGAGCACAGCTCTCAGTGCTGACGATAAATGTACCCCCACCATCTTGGAAAGACAGCAGCTAAAACAAACACCGCTTTAATTTTAGCAATGTTGTTTAGCAGATAAATTGACTGCATGGCCAGAAAAAGGTAAAGATTTATGTAGGGAACTCCCTAACCACACATGCTCAGGGCTAGTTACAGTTGTTCCTGGATACGCCTGCTAGGTCATGGTCAGGGTGACAAGAGGGTGCTTTAAGAGAGGTTTAAGTACATGGGAGCTCCTTTTTCCCTTTCTTCATCGGCTTACTCTACTTACCTCTTTCCCTGCTGGCTGGCTAGGCTGCTCTGAGTAAGTAAGGCACTCCCTAATAAATATCCTAATATCTTTACCTGACTCTGTATTGGTATTTCACCTTTAGATTTACAATAAAGACAGATTCAGATGAAGAAAAACCTCTAAAGCTTTACAATGTGTTTAAAAATATACATAGGCTTGTGAGAGAAAAAAAACACGATAAATTAATTGAAAGAAAGAAAGAAAGAAAGGAAGGAAGGAAGAAAGAAAAGAAAAGAAAAGAAAAGAAAAGAAAAGAAAAGGAAAGGAAAGGAAGGAAGGAAGAGGCCGGGTGGTGGTGGTGGTGGTGGTGTATGCCTTTAATACCAGCACTCAAGAAGCAGAGGCAGGCGGATTTCCACAGAGAAACCCTGTCTCAGGAAAAAAGAAAAAAAAAGCAAGTAAAAGAAATAGAATAATAAAAAGCCAGGTAAAGATAGAAAATACTCAGAGAGTTTGGATACTATGTTATACTGTTGTCTTTAAATTGTTTGATTGCTGAGGAAAGAGCTACAGCTGCTAAAATATGTGATTATAGGTGCTGTTAAATTAATCCAATTTATATATTTTAAAAATGCTTTGACTTCAAAATTTAAGTCTAAGGACAGGTTGCTCGGTAAAAGAATTTCTGCTTATGTTTCCACAGAAAATGTAAAGCTATGTATTCCTTTCAGACTAATATGGTTTGATGAAGCAAGACCCCCTGAAACAGTGTCTCAGGTAATCCAACATTTAAAACAGCTGAGATGATACAGCCTTACAGTCTACAAAAACAAGGATCTAGCCAGGTTTCTGTGTTTTATCATGATCCTCATGGTATGGACATCACCCCCAACCAGCAGGAAGCAGTTTGGAATGAACGATGCCCAAATTCCCAAATATTGTTTATAAATGTTTGTTTTCATTTAAATGGGGTTGATTATAAGTGGTAATGATCACAGTCAATCTCTTTTTAAAGGGGAAAGGGGGAATAGGATATAGAAATGAATACTTTTCATTCTTATGGATTTTTATTTATTAATACAAATTTAAGGTTAATTTTGTTTTATGTAAATTTCTCCTCTTGTTTGGCATTGTTTTTATACAGATCTTTTAAAATGTAATGCATAATTAAATACAGATTGTATATAGTCAGGTATAATAGCCAAAACTTACAGGTAGGTTTGTTAGGTTTTCTAGATATACAGAGATATATTTGAGGTGGATAGATATTCTTCAAACCTTTCAAAGACCTACAGAATATATGGCATTTAAATGGTTTAGGGTTTTTCATGGCAGTGAGACACAACTGCTTCTGGCACACCAATTATGTCAGAAAGGAGGATGGGCATTGAAGAAACTCAATATGGAGTTTGCCTTCAACATGGCAAGATTAGCCATTTAGGCAAGAAACTGCTCTTGCCTGCACTGTTTGATAAACTGGACATGCAGGACCCACAGGAAAATGACTGCTGAACTTGCAAAACGAGATAGTCCTGAAGGGTTCCTGCTTCATGGAGAAGTCTGCCAGACATACTGTGGCCTATAGGCTGAAGATGAATGCCCCAGTGTTACAGAGGAACTTTGGGTAACTGTTCAGGTAGCGAGATGTCTCTGTCAGATCTAGAGTTTATATATTATCCTTCTGTGGTCTTTGATGGAGTTGAAGACAGATAGTTATGATTATAGCTTTCTTTAGTTATTATAAAAGCTAAGCTACATATAAGACTTTAAACTCACAAAGATAGGATAGATGATAGAGTATTTTTTTTAAATCTTGCTAAATGTTAATGGAATAAATATTGTAACTATAGTTCTTACTTGATAACTGTTTTGTTATATATTTTACTATGTTAATGTTAAAAACTATTTTATATTTAGACAGAAAAGAGGAGATGATGGGGGAAGGCCTTCTGTGTATATGTTTGTCTTATTGGTTGATAAATAAAGCACTGTTGGCCAATAGGAAAGCAAGATAGATGGGGCTAGGAGTCGAGGAGGATTCTGGAATATGTACTAAAGACAGGAGTGCCATGTGATCCCAGGAAGATAGGATGCTAAGGCTGGCGTCCTAGATAAGTCTTTATAAAATATATAGATTAATGGTTATGGTTGATAATTAAGACTGAGCTAGCAAATGAGAAATCCTAGTCATTGGGCAGCAGCATTGTAACTAAGATAAGACTTCATGTGTTGTTTGGGGGCTCTAGTGCGGTGGTGGGGCTCAGGTGGCTGGCACAAAGAGTTATTTGTAAAGATAACTAAGACACTAACCTTGGACATGGCCCAAGGGTGACAGAGAACTTTGGCTTTGTCAGTGAGTTCAGGGGTTGGCATTCAAAGAAGGTGAGAAGGATGCCCCAGGGTTTCCTAAGTTACTATTTCCTGTGTGATTTCCTTTGTTTTTGTTGTTTCTTCCACCCTTACAGTCATTTTGTAAATTAGATCAGTGTATTATATTCCATGTTCAAAATCCAGTGTCTTAGGTTTCTGGACCACTGTCCTGGCTTCCTGGTGTTCTTGTCTCCTGGTTGTCTTTCCCTGTAACGTGCTCAAGGATCACCACCAAATTCTATGGTTTTGTTTGCCAAACTTAACAACAGTTATATTTTTTTCCTTTTACCTTAGGCCAGTGGCATAGTCTAGTAATCCTAACTGTTTGGGAGACCAGTGGAGGGGGTTTTATTTCAAAGCCAGACTAGGTGGCTTAGTGGGACACTGTCTCAAATAAAACGTGAAAGGGGGGCTTGGAAATCAAAATGCCGTGTATATGTATGTATTGAAAACATGACAGTTATTCATACTGATGAGGATCGTATGACCATATCTCACATCCAGACAGTGTGTAACTAAACTTTATGCCAACTCAAGGATTCATTGTAGTTTTGTGCTGAGAACCCTCAAGCACCCTATCTACCTATATTCCAATATATACATAGGAAATAAATTGATGCAAATAGTGGCCACCCCACTGGACCATGAAATACTTGAATTTAGTATTTCAACACCCAGTATCTAGGCTCTGTCCACGTTTTTTTCTTCTGCCCTCCCAGGACCCACTCACCTCTGATCTCCTTCCTAATGTACGTTGATTTGCATTTGCTGGTTTCCTGAGTGTTGTCATCTACTTGTTGCATAAGTTTTGAGTATATCTACTCAAATTGTTTGCCTGTCTTAATTGGATTCTTTTGTTTCTATTATACTGCCTGAGTTCCTTATGTATTCTGGATGTTGGTTCCTTGTTATATTAATAGTCTGCATATTTCTCTCTATATATACTCAGTAGATTGTCTGTTCTGTCTGCTGTTTCCTTTACTTTGTGAAAACATTACTTAATCCCATTTGCCCGTTTTTGCTGTGCTAACCTATGCATTGGAAGTCTTTTCCAAAAAGCTGCTGGCCACATCGAGTCTTGGTATATTTCTCCCATTCAAGCACCATTGGAAATGTGCAAAGGCGTCATACAGGGTTTACATGTGAGCTTAGGGCCCAAAAGTAGTTCTCTTCTCTCCTCCTCTCCTTCTTTCCTTCCTCACCTCCTTCCTTCCTTCCTTCCTTCCTTCCTTCCTTCCTCCCTTCCTTCTGCAGTCTCTTATAGTCTTCTTACTACATAGAAACACAGGTTCCCTTTTCAACTCAGGTCCAGCCTCTTAAATCTAACTGAGTTTTGGGTTAGCATGACATTTTAATAAGACAAAATCTTAGTACCACCTAGAGGCTGGAGAGATAGTTGAGCTTAGTAAATGATTTCCTTGAAAGCATGAGGTTCACGAGGACTCGAGTTCAAACCCTATATCCACATCAAAAGCTGGGCCTGGTGGTGGGTGCTTGCAATGCCAGGGCTGGATGACAAGGACAAGAGAAGACACTGGGCTTCCTAATCAGTGGGCCTGTCCCAATCTACACCCCTCAGGCTCAGAGAGAAAAAGATATCTTCCTTTTCATAATGTGGGAGACAACATTCTTGAGGATGACTCCTGATGTCCTAATGTTGTCCCTAGTTTCCACGCCACATCATTGCCGCATAAAGGAATATACATATATTCCCGTACACACATGTACACGCCCCCCCCCCACATCATACACAAAGCAAAAATAAATCTCCCAGGGCCTGGAACTGTCCACCTGTGTTCTAGCATTTTCCACCTCCCCTGAGCTATGTCAGGAAGGACTGCATAGGCACCGGCATACCCTGTCTCCTGCCCTCCACACAGAGCTTCATTGGTTCTCATACAGTCTTCAGACAGGCCCTTCTGTTTTCATTTGGACTCCGTAGCAATCACAGTTTGAATAAAGGTTAAAATTACTTGGTTGAGAGGGACTTTCAGTTGCTCCCTGCTGCTGTACTTATTGGCTGCCTCTGCTGTAAGGGAAGCCCAACTCCCTCTTCAGGCACCAGTGGTCTCAGGAAACAGCCCAGCCAGTTTCTCTAATTGCAGCACCTCTCAAGGGACACATGTGATTGTTCCTTGGCAGAATCTGAACTTGAACTTCGCTCACAATGTGTGGAATCCAATTCTAAAGGAGAATGACTCCAGTCTCCACCTTGATCTTGGCTGTCCCACCTTTCTGTGAATGCCAACTCTCATGTGAGCAGTCCTCATCTCTGCCCCATGGCTAGCTGGTTCTGAAGCCTAAGTTTCAACTTTTCCCACTCAGACCTAATTGGCCTGGCTCTTCCCATATGAGTTGCTGATAAATGAACAATAAACTCGTTTGAAGGCTAAGCTGAGATTCTTTTTTCTTCCTTCTAATTTTTGCCTTTTTGGGGGTGTGTGTGGTATGTGTGTGTTAATATGTATACACATTTTAGAGGTTTGGCATTTAGTGTCTTCTTACATAGGGTCCCACCCTTTATGGGGTGAGTGTTGTGGGATATTTGTTCACACTGACACTCCAGGTCTGCCAATAGTTTACCTCGAATCAGAGGGCAGAGTCAGCAATTGGCTGACCAGAATTAACCAAAGAGAGTTTGGATGACCCAGGATACAGATAGAAAGACACAGGAAGTAGTAGGGAGGGGCTTGGAAAGATTCACAGGCCTTCTTGGATAGAAGGAGATAGAAGGTCATTGGTCGCTTTGCTTTTCCACCATTTCTCTAATCAATCAGATTTTTACCCCAATATATGACTCCTAAGTTTCATTTAATAATATAACAATATAAGCAAAAGCTTCAGGTGGGACAGCATCTTTCACTGCATCTGGACCTCACAAATCTGGCTCGATTGACTGGCCAGTGAGACCAGAGACCTGCCCATCTCTGCCCTTGTCCCAGAGCTAGGGTTACAGCGTGCTGCCAGACTTATCTTTTGTAAGGGTGCTGGGGATCAGATCTCATGTTTTCATTAAAGCCCTTTCTCCATGGAGTCACCCTTCAGCCCTTACACTCCCTTTGGGGACAACATTAATATAACAGTGAAAATGAACAAGGAATGTGAATAAGGGAGACTCTAAGAAATGACCTGTCTAAGGAGGAAAGAATACAAAAGCATATTGGTCACTCCCACAAGTCAGGTGCTCAGATGCCACCATGAAATAGTGGGCTCTCAGTTAATGATACTGTAGTCTCCCTAGAGAGAAGAATGAGTGTGGGAAAAGAATAGTCATGTTAATTAATAGCCCAGGAGCTCAAATATCCAAAAGGCATTTTTTATGAGAGAAGTTACATTCTTTCCATATTCCTCCAGGCCATGCCCAAATTACCTCACTTTCAAAATCCTACAAGACTCAAACCAGATCC